ATTCTAACAAATGGAAAAACATGACTTTTCTACATTTTCGGAAATTTTTATTCAATTCAAATTAATTGAATTAATTAATTGAATTCAATTCGCTCTTTTATCCCGTGATGATTAATTATCGATTTCTTTGAAAATTATCCACTAATTTCTGGAATTAAACAAAACAAACATTTTATTTCACAAATTAAACAAAACTTTGACATTAAACTTTTAAATTTCCTTACTAAATTGATTTTTCCAAATAATTTTCATCTAATGGCGAAATTAATTTAATTATTTTCCAAATTTACAACCTTCATAGGTGTATAAAAAGTTGTTCTCGTAAAATACTGAATATTAACAAATACCCAGGGTTATTCAATACTTGGCTTCAGTTCAATGAACAAAGTACAACTACAAGTATAGAAGCAACAGGGTAATACACTGACCGATAGAACTATATCTCTCTCTTCCTCTTTATATTTTCGTTTCTGGCACAGGCCTGAGACCTATATTATTCACCTACCGTCTGCATTTCCCTTACCCTCATATGGATGACCGCATTATGCAATCACTCTGAAAATTCCCACCTGTATATTTTCATATCGTTCATTGACTCCTCGATTTCACTCCCTAATTCCTCGATATCGATATTCATTGCCAATTCCAAAATCATTCCCCTTCAGTCTCCCCTTTTCCAGTATTCGAGTATCCATTAAACTTAAATAACAAATTAATGAAATCCTCTCCATTTCAATTTGGAATTTCAATTTACCAATAAAAAATTAAATTTCCCTCCCAAAAAAACAATGATTATTAATTCTCCATCAGTTGAATTTATTTTCCCCCTTAATTGATTCAAGTTTTCTCTTGCGAATTAATTGATTTCCGGAGTTAAAAATTCGTGATTCCAATTTCCGGATATTGAAATATCAATTCCAATTGTTTTCATTAATTTTTAATTTTCATTAATTTTTAATGTTGAATGGTTTTGGAATTTTTCCGATGGGATTTTAAGTTTTTCATGAAGGCGGAAGATTGTCACCCACTCAAAAACCCCTCAAACCACAAAATCCGCAAATAAACACGACGACGAAGCATTTGCGTAACATCGGTATGTAGCACGCACGAGAATGCGTGCACATCAGTTTTTCCTATCTCTTTCTCAATTAGTTTTCGTTTCTCCCTCGGCGTTACCGAGCGCTGATCCTAACTACTGTCGGTTAGTCACGAAACAAAAGCGACACTGACAACTTTTGCGCAATTAAAAGTGAAAAAAAATAAAAACACTAAATACGGGGAATAAAACGCAAAATAAATCGCCATGAGTAGAGGAAAATGTTTAGTTTACGACGAGACCCCGGGCGCACTGTGCGAATAATTTAAACTCTCCGGGTTTCCCGCGGTTTTCTCCCATCGCTTTGTTATCGTTAAAATGCCGGATGGGGGGGATAATATTTATGTGATAAACACAGTGAGATTTTTCCTAAAATTCTATTTCCACTTGAGAAATTTCACCCATTAAAACGAAATTCAATTATTTTTGCAATTTTTTTTTTTCATTTATCGCGAATTGTTTTGATTTCGATTAATGGCAGAGTGACATTCGACCCCTGGCGTCGATTAATCGTAATCAGTGAACAGATGAGATTTTTTTTCAACTGATTAATTAAATTTTACGAATTATTCGGAATTTATGGCAATGGAGGACATGTTTATCACTTTGTCATTAATTTTCTGTCTCGCGGATTGAGTGTTTATTTATTCAATCGACCTTCAACCGACGATTATTCCTCAATAATTCGGCCTTGTCCCCAGATGGCCCACATTATTATTTCCCGTTTATTTGGGGAATAGTTAAAGGGGTCAGCCTCCAACGATTTAGAATTAAAAATAGATATTGAAATCGCACGGTCAACTAGAATAAATAATCGCTCGATCTCCCATTCGAATTTAATCGGTGATTATTCAATTTGAAATTAACAAAAGTGGGAAAACAAATAAAGTTTATTTAAACAGAAATCTTTGATCGTCGAGGCGACGAGTGTCACGTCAAAATTCCAACCGACAAATACTATGAAATTTCTCGTCAAGTACTTCGAGTCAATCACCGTTAAGTTTACACCGGTGAGGCACGATTTAATACCGATTATTATATCATTTCAAACTACGTTTTATCGCTACTGACGTGTCAATTGAATTATGATAATGCATTAATTTTGATTGGGAGAACAAAGAGTGCACTAATTGCGCATGAATGATCGTCACTGTTAGAACAATCTCGACAAATTGCTCTGGAATTTTATTTCCTCTTCGCACCATTTTTCACTTGCGATATTAACCAAAAAAAAAATATATATAAACAATGCGTTCATTGATTAGGATTTTTTCCCCATTCTCATCGTCGATATTTTCATTCAGTTTTTTATCGAGTGAATTCTCGAATTGAATCGATGTTTTTTTTTGCGTATCGCTTGGTGTAATTAGAAAAAATCAATTGCACCGATATTTTTCTGGTGGCGCCATATCCCCTGGGTAATTAAACGCATGGAGGCGCCTGTATGGATGATACATTAACATATTTCCAGGGTGACAAGGCGTAATACCAAGATTGGATCTCATGGGTGCGTCAGCTCTCTTGATCGGTGCAAAACGGGTTAAACCAGTGGCTAGAGTAATCCTGGAGATCCAGTAGAGATTGTCGTTATTTTAGAAATGGTACAGGTTGATATCGAGTGCGTCTGAGGGTTTCATTGCCCTTTTTTAGATTTTTGCATTATTGCTTCTGCCCGCGATGGCGTATCAAATTCAAAAATCCGTGAGCGAAATCATCAGTCTGTTAAATTCTCCTGTGGAGTGTGTGTTGGAGATTTATTTCTATTGCAATGTCACACAAATTCGCTCGTCGTGCATTAATCGAATTTACTCGTTAGAATTAGAATGATGTCCTCCACACATTCGAAACAAACAAAGGCCTTGATATTTATTCGAATTCAACAAAGAAACTAAAATCAATAGAAACCTTTCTGCCTTTGCGAATAAACCCGATCAATTGAATAACGAATACTTAAACCGGCATGAAAGTTCCATTATGAATAATCAAACTTAACTCACTCGCCAAATTACCCAGCATTCAGAGCCATTTACTACCGATGCAATTGCATCGATACAATGAAACCAATTATAATCATTTGAATTGGTGAATGGTATAAACACGTGGCCGGATATCGGCCCTCATGGGGTTTCAATCGATGAAAACTTTGTCGTGAGGTCTGAAGATTGAATGGACCCTGTACCCCCGACAAACTCCTTTCATCCATAAATTAAATAATCATTATTTAATCGGAGCCACTAACAAACCGGGAATAATTCAATAGAGATAATTCGTATAATTTTTGGTTGCAATAGTAATTGTCGTGGAAGAATTAATCCTGGAGTTAATTACTGTGTTACCAATAGCGATTTACAAGAACATTAGAAATTGTCGCCAGCAATTTCTCCCCTTCGAAGTCGGGAAAAATATTATTGTTTACTCGGTGTTTTTCATCGGAAAATTTTCAGTCAACTTTCCACACTGACGAGTTTCTTCCTCTCATCAACAACTCTCCGGATTAGTTTTTCATCTGGTGACTATTTTTTTTTTTCTCAATGATTTTTCAACATTCTTACTTATCTCTCCATAAATGGACTATCGGAATTAAAGGGGTGTTATTCTTCACACTATCTGACAAGTGCAAGCAAAAACTGATAAGCCATTCCCCTTATTTCCGTAAACCGGCGATGCGCTTGTTATCACTTATCAGGGTCACATGAGATAAACCTTTTTTTTTTAATGCGAGAATTCTCATCTTAATTCTCCTGGCAGTGACGTTAGACCAGTTTCGGGGAATTGTCTTTTGTCTGGGGGATAAGAGTAAAAAAATCTTGGCTTCCAGTGAATGAGCAATTATCGAATGTGGGTAATTGGCCTCGGCAATCGCGTAATTAACGTCGGCTCCAGTAATGAGTGAATACAATTTAATTCCGAGGGAGAACATTTCTTGACGTTCAAAATACATTCCTCAATTCCGATTATTTCTATTTTTTTTTTATTTCAATGAATTTACTTTTTTTATTAATTAATTAACTTTTTATTCTTCACGTCTGTTCAATTGATGACGTTTTTAATTATTTCATTTGTTCAAATTAAAGTGGAATTCGGTGAAGTGTCACGAGACGGAGAGATGGAAAATTCTTGAAAAGTAATCCAATGGAATTTAATTTTCTCACACCAGTAATTATGTGAGAGCCCCTAGATCATGCCCACAATTTAACACGAAAATAATCTCCCCCATGCAACAAATCATCGCAACAAGGGGCCGCCTATTCAACAATAAAAAGAATCATTAAAATTTTATAACTGGTCACAGTCAGTCAGTGTTTAGTGACATAAGTAATCACACGAGGTATCACCGGGTTGATGACCTTATTCTTCTTTTTTAACGATTGTCGGCGTTGAATCCTTTATGAGGCAACAAGCTGCTCATCAACCTGTTTGTTAGTTTACTCTAGGCAATTTTAATCAGCCTGAGTAAACTTGAACGATACACTCTCAAAAAAAAATTACAGTCTTTCCCAGATTTTTCACTCGACTGGAACATGCCCTATCGCGATCTTTAATCGTCAAAACAATAAACCTTCCGGTAATACCACTATAACAGTGTGAAATAATAATTAATTGTTTACATTTAACATTTTAATTATTTCTAATTCTTTACACTGAGAAATTTAATCATGATTTCCCTTAATTTCCGATTCATTCACATGAAAATTTCAATTTTCCTCCTTTTTTAACAATTGAGAAATATTGAATATTAAATAATATTAGAAACAAATAATTTAAAAATTCACTGGGGTAAAACCCAAAATCAAATTTGAATTAAAAAAATCGGCTTTTATGACTGGATAATTTTTGTTAATTAAATTTCTTATTAATCTAATGAGATGACATGTAATAATGATAATATTTTTCTATTTTCTAGGTGAGTAGGAGATCAAAAGAACGGGCGTCCATTCACCAAGATAAGGGGAGGGTGAGTGGTATCTAAAATTTGAAAGTAGTGATGTCTCGGTTATTTATCCGCATCAACCGAGACATTAGAATATCCCAAAGTCCAGTTACACATTATTCATTCATCAGGGATGAATAATTTCTCCGTGCATGGGCTTAAATTCAAATTTATGGTGAATTATTCATCGTCAATCGAAATGATATCGTGATTTACCGAGATAGGATAAAAATGAACAATCACTTTAGTCATTCACACATTGTGCGTCACGATCAGATCACTCTGCCCTTTATTCTCCCTCGGTTTTTACTTGGTATTTTTAATAGAAAGCCAGTGCAACTGTGCATGGAAGCCAAGAACGTGATGAATCACGGAGGGATATGGGAACAATGGACCACTCTAGGTTGCGTTATAATAGTTGTATGCACTCTAGAACGGCTTTGCATTAGCGTTTCATGCACTTGAGCGTGGGCTGGAGCGGATCTACGGATATACGTTCTACTTGTTCATAAACGTTTTATTTTCCCGGAATATATTTTTCACACCCTCTCGAAATAGGGATTACACTAGATCAGTCGCGAAACTACTTTACAAAAGTATGAACAAAAAATTCTTCATGAAAAGTCAGACAACGACCAAAATATTTGATGAGTACCATTGAGTTTTTCGGAGATATCTCCCAAATTAAAAAAGATATCGAAATTTTTATAATGACCTATTTTGTAGAGCTGGTTACGACCTACAAAAATTTTCATTACAAAAATTTCAATATCTCCCTTAGTTTTTGAGGAATTTGCTAATAAATCACGAAGAGGTGAAGGACATTTCACGATAGATGAATCGGAGGAATTAAAAGGACTTGACAGGTGCCAAAAATCCATCTGCCAAATAAATTCACTCGATACAATTAAGTGCCTAAAACGTCTGCGTAAATTTACCATTAATATTCTCATCTCGAATTCGTTTGGCACACGTAAATTTCATTGGCAGATGAAATTTTTGTCTCAGGGAAAATTACTCGTTGACGATTTCGCAATTCCATCGGGTTTTTCGCTATTTCGTAATTGAATAGAGACGGTATTAACGATCGATGATGATGTGGGCGGTATTTCACATCTTTCACCTTCTTGACGCCCAACACAAGTGTTTCATTCAAGAAGACGAATCGTCTCCTCTAGGTCTCTCCCCATAGCCACCACCTGGCTGAGTCATGAACGCTTCATGCACATTTGTATTGCGTCATTATTGCCATTGATACTCAGCATCACAGAATTATCCACCTGAGTCGTGACGTATTATCATTTTCCCGGAGTCTGTAACGATCACCTCTCGACAATATACCGGGTAAATAGCCGTTGAGTCACTGATCTAGCTCATCGAATTTAGCAGGAAATTGTTGACATCGGGAAATGATAAAAATTATCTCTCTACATTATTCCCTAAGCTATTAGTCAGTCGTATCTCAGATATTTTTGAGGTACTAATTAAATCAATCAACTTTTAATGATAATGGTAATTAACTTTAATGAAATATAATTAAATTAAATTAAATATATATTAACACTGCGATAATGATTTTTCTCATTCATTGAGAAAATATATACACATTTTTTCTTCAATTTATTTTATTTTGGAAAAAATGGTGTTCTTTTCCGAAAGTCATAGATCAGCTCTCGAGAAATGAGTTTTAGCTTCGATTTTCTTCAATGATATTCTCAATTGAAAGTTAATGTCAGCATTACTATCGCTCCTTGGAATACCAAACCTACCATGGAATTAATTGTAACACCGTTCAATACCCAGACGTTCAAACACAATTAGCTGGTCAGACGTGTCGTCTCTGGATGAGATACGATAAATAGCCATAAGGTTCAATGAACCGACTCTCCTCACTCGGAATACTAATGAACCTATTCACATTTGTTCTTTTCTTCTCTCATTTTTCCATTTCTCAGTCCTTTCAACGATAAAATGGCTGTTCTAGTGCTGTCAGTATCAATTTCAACCATTTCCGCGTCTGGAAATCCACAGACATATTTTTCTGAAAATTCCAC